GTTTTCCAGCGATAAAAAGGCGAAAGATGTCGAAATGAATTTTTGAATAAAAATACAGGGTGTTCCATTTGAAAAATTCTGATGAATGTCATTTGAAACTTGCAAAATTCTAAATGCAAAATTGAGCACCCTGTTGAAGAACATATCGCAAAATTCTGGATTGGTAAGCGTTGGACCTTGCTCCTACCGTATGCCAAAAATATTTTCAAAATCTGAAAAAATTAATATACCATGCCCAATTCAACATGACTCTTCAATAATGGTAAAAATAGATTTATCAATTATAACTTGGCAACGCCGCAACCGATTCAAATTTTTTTTACAGCGATGTGAAGGTAAATCTCGACGGAATTAATTCCGAATGAACAATACTGGGTGTTCCATTTAAAAAAACTCTTCTTCGAGTTGCCCTGCTTTTATAAAACACCCAGTAATGTTGAAAATAATTTTGAAATAAGCAACTTTAGTAACTGAAAAAGTTTTTTCTTCAAAGTTTTTCTCTATAGGTTATGGCTTTCGAGATATCGAAGAATTACGCACTAAATGGACACACTGTATATGCTCATTGTGCAGGTTCGTCATGCCACGACGTGTAAAACAAGGCTCATCAGTAAAAAAATATCATTGTGAAATCTGTTGTCAAGTAGTCTGCGCTTCCGACCAATCCGTGAAAAATTTAGACGTGACCCGTGGTCAAGTGGTAATAACTCTTGTACAAACTGTATATGAAATGGATGAATTAATTGGTCCCTGCAGATCCGATTCACAAAGTTTTTTGGAATTTCTGTTTGTCGCTGCTATTTGATAGCAGTTGAAATAACACCAACAATTAAATAATAATAAATGGTCGGTAATGGTACTCGCGGTAATAACAAAATTGAAGAATTTATTGAAACATTAACAGACAACGTCAACAACAAACTTGAATGACGATAAATTTGTTTCCTGTCAAAATCACGACTTGCCTTCGTTTCCACTGCCAACTAAGTTTTATATCACAATTTAATTGAACTTGTACTGGGAGGGAATATCTGGTAGCATTATTTGAGAGATCATTTTTCTTTCTTCGAAACCATGCGGTATACGAAATATTTACACGAGTAATAAAATGATGGTAATTGATTAGTCTTTAAGTTCAAAAAATTTCAGAACCGTATTATGACCCCTGAAATAGTTATGAAATAAATGTCAGGGGGTGAGGGTGGTTTTTACCCTTCTACAATTTCTTTCAGGTTTCTTCGGTTACCAAAAGGAAAGTAATCCTCTGAAAAACACTATTGCCAAATTTTTATGTGAACTTTGAACCCTTCTCACGGACAAACGGTACATTTTGGCACATAAATAAATCGGCTCCAATCAACTTAATTTGACCTCCTCTATACTTGGCAGCTCTGTGTCCCAGCAATTTTGGGACACCCTGTATAGGGTGAATTATGGGATTTGGCAAAAACATCTTTTGGTCATAACTTCCCAACAACTTTTTCGGTTTGTCTTATTTTTCATAATAAAAAAATATTTCGCTACTATCTAATCGACTGACTTATTCAGAATCAGAAAAATCCAGGACCGTTCTTGAACCATTTTGCTAATTCAATTTATATCAAAAAGTTCATAATGTATATGGTTTTTGTGAACTGTGACAGGTAATATTCAGAGGTAATAAACAAACATCAAAAATACAATATCCAAGATTTTTCTCACACTTTCACAGATTTTTTTAAAAAACGATACATTAAAGAAAAACGAAATTTTGGCAAAAAATCCATTCATTTGAAAATCAATACTTCGCAAACGCATAAATTTCACGAATGAAAGTAAGACTTACATTCTCAATATTTTAGCTTGATGGAAATCGACATGTTCTTCTAGTTCCAGGCCTGGATTTCGTCATTTTATATTTTTTTTGTCGAGGGTATAATGATCACCCTGTAGATCTTAATTCTCAATTTTATCGATTCGATTTGTTTTATCTAGTTATTTTGGTCCCTCATTTTCCTTACAGAAGAATAATTATTATCATCGTTTGTCATAGTATTCTTATAAAACATTGTCGATAAACCCCCATTTTCTGATTAACTTTCTAGAATCATTTGAATCGATTGTCATTAATATCGTTACCCCTGTTAGTATCGGGGGTAACGTTGATATCCTTACAGATACCCCATCCACTGATTCGAAAAAGATCTACAGGGTGATAATTATACCCTCCACATAAAATAAAATGACGAAATCCAGGCCTGGAAATCAAGCATTGAATTAAAGCATTGAAAATGTCAGTCTTACTTTAAATCGTGAAATTCATGCGTAGCGTATTTATTTTCGAATAAATGTATTTCTTGTAAAAATTTCGACTTTTCTTAGAATGTATCATTTTTTTTTTAATTCTGTGAAAGTGTGAGAGAAATTCGGATATTTCATTTCCGATGTTTGTTTGTGACCTTTGACTTTTCCCTGTCTTTACAAAAACCATATACAGGATGAACTTTTTGATATAAAATGAACTAGCAAAATTTTTCGAGAATGGTCCTGGATTTTCCTAATTCTAAGTCAGTCGATTAGAAAGTAGTAGGGATATCCCATGCCAAAATCAGACAAATCGAAGAAGCTGTTGAAAAGTTATGACCAAAATATGTTTTTGCCAAATCCCATAATTCACCCTATATATTAGCATATATTAGTGACGAAGAGGAACAGACACTTCATTCATATTTCAACTTTATGGTGCTCAATCGAGCAAACATCCACGAAATCATTTATTTCTGAATGTTCAACAATAACTTTGTTTTATCTCTTGAAGCATACTAAAGGAAATTCCTATTATAATCGTGGAATATCGTGCGTACCTAGGGAGGATAGGGGGAGGCCTTCCAAGCTAGTTCAACACTTTTTTTATATCAAGCTAAGCATATTTTTACTTTAGAACTATATTTTTTGACGTTTGTAGAAAAAATGTTGTTTGCAATAACAAATTGCGAAGTGACACTTTTTTTTAGTTTCCTACGTTACCATGATACCTTGCACATTATAGGGATTCCCTTTCATGCGCTCCAAGCGATAAAAAAATGAGATATTTATATTTCAACTTCAAGGTCCTCAATCTAGCAAACATCCACGAAATCATTTATTTCTGAATATTCTGTTTTATCTCTTGGAGCGGACGAAAGACAATTTCTATTATGTTCGTGGAACATCCTGCGTACCTAGGGAGGATAGGGGGAGGCCCTCTAGGCCTCGTTAAATAATCAGATCTCGATCACAAAAGTAACATTTCGCGCTCTAGATACAAAAATAACTATCTCCTATTCATCATCTGCATAAAATATGCACATGTACCATTTACACTGATATAATATGTATATTGACTTACCTTTTGTCTTTACTTCATGTGTACAGTGTGTCCAGTTTTCGATGCTTTTGCATACTCAGTTATCTTTAGAGATAGAACCTTGCGGTTTTCGCGGTCCTGTGCCAATTTTTTGTGAATCTCAAGATGGCCTAATCAGATTTTGCAGGACTGTTTCCATTTATGAGATACAGGGCGATTTTGAAAATTTATACTTTTTGGGCCCCCTCTATATCTACGAAGTTTATCAGTGAAAATGTCAAATTAAAATCTCAACCCATAGAGAATTTTATGCAGAATTCAGTGGCGCACAAAAAATTTTTTTTCGGGGTGTGGTTTTGAAAATACGACTCAAACTTATGATTTTTTAAATTGAACACCCTGTATTTTATAGGCTCATTAAATTCCTTATTTTTTTCCCTTCGAAATGATATATGATGTATGAATATAACATCTTCAAAAATGTTAAAAAATAACTAAAACATTGAATTTTAATAGTGGGCTATGGGTTTTTCGAGGGATTTTCTTATAAAGAAATTTACAATTGAAGGAATATTTCCTTTGATTGTTCCATGAAGGGGGAAATAACAATTTCAACACTAATTAACTTGCAATACACAAGACTCAGATACCTGATATCCACAAATACATAGCATAGATAATGAAAAGTTTATAATGTAGAATAAGCACCTGATTGAATATTTACTAAAACAATTGAATTTCGAAATTATTCAGTGATTTATTCATTGAATTGTTCAAATTGATGTCCATTTTTCATCACAAACTTTCTCAATACATATCAATCATTGAAAGATGTCTTTGTAATTCCTGGAAAACTGCCTCTGTTGTTGCACAAAGTTCTTCAAGTATGTTGGGCCACTCACTGTATTAAGAAGTATTGAGAAAGGTTGTCAACTGTATGTTGGGTAAAATGGATATCAATTTGAACATGTCAATGAATAAGTTACTGAATAATTCCGGAATTCAATTATCTTAGTAAATATTTAATCAGGTGCCTATTCTACATTATGAACTTTTTATTACTATTTATTTGTTGCTATCAGGTACCCAAGTTAAGTGTTTTGTTAATTAATAAGTGTTGATATTGGTTTTCCATGGAAAAATCTAAAGAAATATTACTTCAATTGGAACGTTTTTCATAAGAAAAATCCATAACCAACTATCAAAATTCAATATTTTAGTGATTTTGAGCAATTTTGAGAATTTTATATTCATTCGTTATACGTCATATTGAAGACAAAAAAATAAGGAATTTAATGAGCTTATGAAATACAGGGTGTTCCATTTAAAAAATCATAAGTTTGAGTCGTATCTCCAAAACCATACCCCGAAAAAAAAATTAAGTGCGCCACTGGATTATGCGTGAAATTCTCTATGCGATAAGATTTTGATTTGACATTTTTGTTGAGAAACTTCGTGGATATAGAGGGGGTCCAAAAAGTATAAATTTTCAAAATCGCCCTGTATCTCATAAACGGAAACAGTCTTGCAAAATCTGATTAGGCCATCTTGAGTTTCACAAAAAAGTGGCACAGGACCGCGAAAACCGCAAGGTTCTATCTCAAAAGATAACTGAGATATCAGGCAAAAGCATCGAAAACTGGACACACTGTACAGTCTATGTTCTTTCTTCCAGGAAAAGCACTAGTAATCTTTTTCTTCTGTGGTCCTGTTTAGGCACAAATACAGTATTGAATTTACTCATAGTGTCGCATTTCTCGCGAAAAATTAATAAGCATATAGCCAGATCCATCAAGCAGTCAATATCCATGGGAATGAGCAATTACTTGCAAGAAAGTATGTGGAAGGAAACCATCGACAAACTTCAATATTCCAGTCATTGTTGTGGGATAGATTCTTATGAAGACTGGCACAAAATAAAATGGTTGTCAAAATATCATGTCGATGTTAAATCCACTGCCGTTAAAGAGTAAGACATTACTTTTTATTTCCCATCGTAAAGTAACTAAACCAATGATATTAAGAACAATCTATAGTGTCGATTCAATTTTTCTTGCAGGTTGTAGGTATACAAATTGTAAAAAAAAAACAGAAATATCCTCAAATTACTCTCTACCAAGTTGTAGTTTGACTATACAGTGTGACCCATTTAAGATGGAAGCACCCTTATAAAACTTACATTTTTCAACCGATTGGAATGATTTTTTTTTTGTTAGGTAGATATTCAAAAAGTCTATTAGGACACCAAATATCATGAATAAATCTCCATTTCCAGGGCCAACTAATCTGATTTTTCAAGGTCAAAAATCTAAAAAATTACTAGCGATTTTTTTAGAAAAAATCTGACTACACCACTGGATTTGTGACATTTTCAAATGGGTAACATGTAAATTACGTTGAAATGCGTCAATCAATAAAACAGTTATAAAGGAATGAAATTTGAAAAATATGCCGTTTAATCAACCCACCACTTCATGTTCAGGAATTTTATGAAAATTCTGTATACTCCACTGGATTCAGGACGTCTTGAAATATTACTGATCACAGTTTCATCGAAATCTGTTCAGTAATAAAAATTGATGGGTTGATTAAACGGCATATTTTTCAAATTTCATTCCTTTATAACTTTTTTATTGATTGACGCATTTCAACGTAATTTACATGTTACCCATTTGAAAATGTCACAAATCCAGTGGTGTAGTCAGAATTTTTCTAAAAAAATCGCTAGTAATTTTTTTAGATTTTTGACCTTGAAAAATCAGATTAGTTGGCCCTGGAAATGGAGATTTATTCATGATATTTGGTGTCCTAATAGACTTTTTGAATATCTACCTAACAAAAAAAAAATCATTCCAATCGGTTGAAAAATGTAAGTTTTATAAGGGTGCTTCCATCTTAAATGGGTCACACTGTATATTACCCAATAGGTATAGATACTTGATAGTTTGCATTCCTCCAATTTCCTTCGATTAGCCTTATTATGAAATGAACCAAAAAGTACATTGAATTCAACTGCTGCTTCTAAAGATTTTACATACTCATTCTCACGAAATTGTGAAAATAAATTTGGAAATTAATTTATATTTTTTTGAATTACAATAATTTCTCAGCATTGAATGGAAAAGTATACTTAACTTACCGAAGCACCTATTCACGATATTAAGTTTCATAAAGAATAAAATGTTCTAAAAGAGGGCAAGTAGGCATCAAAAATGGACTCTTTAATTAAAACCTAACAAATAATTTGTTTTTTTCACCATTAAATGGGGGAGACCACTGATTTTTTGAAACAACATTATCGTGAACTCTATACTGAAAAACTACCAGTGAATTAATTTTGAATTTTTTCATTCATGCTAAGACGATGAAAAAAATAAATTAGAATATGACCATTTCTAAACACACAATTCCTGCGCCATTTGAAAATTTGTCAATTCATTGGTGAGACTGGTGCGACGTCTTAGTCCCAACAAGCCTATTGTCCTTGAACTCACCAATCACACTGCAACACTGCAGAATGACGAGGTATCAGAGAGAGATAGCTACAGTGCGGGACTAATACGTCACAGCTCCACCATCATGTTTGGCTTTTCGAAATAACAAATGAAATATGCTGATTTCATAACGATAAAGATTCGATTCCCTTCAACTTCAACTCATAATATTGATAGTAGATCAAACGTAAATCATGATTCGTCGATTGAAAGAGGTTTGCTCGGATTTCTTCCCTCAGTGGTCTTCCCCATTCCCCTCTATGAATCTGGAACTGTTGAGCGAGTTCTATCTACGTCATCTACTCACTCTTATCTGAAAAGACTATAGCTTGATGGAAATGTTTAATAAAATTTAAAAAACCTCACAGGCGAAATGTGTCGTGTTTTTAAGAATTCAGTGTGTCATCGTATGTGAAGTTTCCTACATAGACTATAGATAGTTTGATAATTTCTAGATTCCATACCGATGATGATCTCACACTACCTGTTACTCCTTGGAGCTGCTGCAAAGTGGATTTTCCAATGCAATGTCTCCACGATCCTTTACAGCAGGTCCACTATGCTCATATGTGGGTAGATGAGCCCAAGATAGTGTTAGATTCTATAAACACTAAAGGGTGTATGATGAGCCTGCGAAAACCCATTGATGCCATGATCAATTTGTTCGTTCTTCTTACTTCATTGATATGCATACTACATGTAAGTACTGTCTGTAGGTTAATCAAGGAGGTGGTACATTCAATATTCTTCCTAAGAAACTCCCGAATGAGTTATAGAATCATTGAACTTCAAACTAAGACTTGAGAGCTGCTTATAGAACAAAATATTACGTTTAAAAGGTTCATCAGAATAATTTAGACAAAACTTATCAATTCGGAAAATCTGGATTATACGAACTGAACTCTCGATTTTGTCCACGAACGTCAGATAGTTTTTTTTGCTTAAAGAAATTATAGTCCAGATGGCAATGTCAATTTTTTTCTATGTAGAAGATAAAGGAAGGGAAAAATGACAAGAAACCGTCATCAAGCACACCAAAGCTGTCCCAAAGAATTGTGCTTAGTGCTCGTTAAAGCACTTGCTTGTAAGCACTGTGCTCCCGAGCACTTTTTTGACCAGTGCTTAGTGCTCAAAGCCTTTCCATACTTAGGTACTACCGTCAAACGGAGTTGAGTGAACCATAGTGAGTGAAATGAATAAGTCGGATGTTTCAATACAAACGAGGAAGCCGTTTGCTCCAGCTGCAAGATTGAAACGTTTTTGCGTCCCAGTCGTTTCGCTAGTACGTCTAGGTAAGCGAGGAAGGTGTTTCGACGCGCTCAAAGAAACACGGAGAGTATCAGGAACACACTTTGGGATCTAACAGATTTAGCTATTTTCACGGAACTTTATAATTTTATTCACTTACATGCTCTGAATGTGCTTAATGGTTAATACTGATTATGAATTTGATAAAAATTATTTCAGTTAAATTTCAGCATTCTTTTTACTTTGGAGTGGTCACTATAGTGGATAAAATGAATCATTCTAATTTCTATGAAAGTGGGCTTTATATTTTGTCATTGGATATTTTTGATATTCTATGAATTAATTATCAATTTCTAATAATTTGTTTTAATCTTAGCAAGCCGAGAATATAGTATATTGAAAAAATGCAACCACAAAAAAAATTTAAAAAATTTTTTTTATTCATTTTACCTCTGAGTATTTTCATAGTTATTTATACACCAAGGTGGTAAAGAATATCAGTATTACCCAGGTACCAAGATTATATCACGCGGCTTCAGCCGAGGGATATAAGGTCCCGTGGTTATATTATTTTTTAACATCAAAGTGTATATTACATTTCGATCACTATAGTTTCGTGAAACTGAAACCTATTGCCACTTCTTTACAATTCTGATTAAAATCTAGTAGCCATAAGCAAGAGAGCATATGACAAGTCGTTATTGATACATACCTACTATGCCATACCTTGGTAGTATAACAACACTTTACGTCTCGGAAAAGGTATGTATTATATATATAAAATGAGTTTTCACGCGTTTTCAATGCCTGATTCGTTTTACCCCAGAGTGGTTGGTAAAGCGAATTAGATTATACAAAAAACAATGAAGGCCTTTTCCTTGTTTTTTAAAAAATTATTCACGACTTGAGCCATTTGAAAAGGGTGCCAGGACCTACATAATTTTTTGTATATTTTTTGTCCCAATACTTTTCGAAAAAACGATAAAAAACGCATTTTTTTATTCACTCAAACTCAACCTCGTTTGACGGTACTTGTCGAAACAAGAAAACGTGGCCGGTAGCATCTCCACTCAAGACGAACTTTTGTTCGCTTCCATAAGCATCTCCGAAAAATCACAGTCTTGTGTGGCAGTGTATAATTACTGAATTTAGGTATCAGTGAAGTACGTACTGCACAAACCGTATAGATAGGTATGTCAATTTTATGGCTGCATTGAAAACTGAAGGTCAAGAGAGGTGGCTGAGTTAACAAACAAAAACCATGTCAAAAAGTCTTTCATCAAGTGTATAGCAATATCATCCTTCTCAAAAGTGCTTAGTGCTCGCTATGTCGAATTACTTCATGAAAGTGTTTAGTAATCGCGAGCATTTTCTCAATGGAAGTGTTTAGTGCTCGGAGCACTTTTCGTCAGTGCTCGGCAAAGCTCTGAAGCACACAGGGTTGTACTAAGAATATAATAATGGAATTATAACGACAGAATATTGAGGCCTTTTCGGAAACCTATTCTGTTGACTCGACCCGCAACCTGCACGTTTGTTCACCATACTCGATCACTAACTCAGGTTTGTCGACAATAACCCTAGAGTCTGCAAAGGCACCGAATGCGCAATACCAAGTAAGAATATTTGGTTATTTGGTGTTATTTTAACAGCATTAACGTTCGACCATAATGACCTTTCCTGTCAGTTCTTTAAAAAATATACCTCGAAATATATGGCTCTGGAATACCTTAAAATAGTTTTTCGAGATTTTTCATCAATTCCGCGAAACGTGTGACGCCAGTGCGCGAGGAATTTTGGAATTTTGGCGGGTGCCAATAAAATGCACAATTACTTGACAGTGCTGCCATTTTTTCACAGAAAGCTATGATTAGTTCAGCAAATGATACAGATGCTCTTAAATATATCAATAATACCTACCTACCTACCCGGAAATTTATGGTAGTGAAAAATTGCATTGCATAATTAGTCAGAATGGTTGATTTATGTTGGTGGATTATTGAAAATTGTCAGTGAAATTTAATTTTGTATTGAATTGAAGTGCAAATGTTCAAGAAATTCAGGTTCAAATTCCTTCCAGTTAAGTACTTTCGAGTTAAGTACTCACCTATACGTATATACAAGTCGTATATACGTACCTACCTAGGGTGACACAGAGTATCGGGCCACCCCTGTAACTTCTGCATTTGTAAACGGATTTTTCTGAAATTTGGTATAGACTATATATTTCGGATTTGATCACATTACAATCCGATTTAGCGGACTCCCAGTTATTCTGGAAATGCCAGCAACTTTGTTTTTTCAAATGGAACACCCCAGTATATTTCAACATGTTTATGTTGAACAGGTCAAAACAAGTGCAATCTTCATGACAAGATTCAGAAATGTTGTTTTCCACAGATTACTTGGAAAATTATTCGAACTGCAAGGAAATTCATGAAACTAGTTGTTGATTTTTGAATGTATACAATATGTTATTGCACCGAAATACAAAAATGATGTCATTTTCTCCCTAATCCATGTTCAAGAGAGACATGTAGGTTACCCACAGGGGTTCCATGTAAAGAAAATGAATTTTTGATCAAAATGTGATGTGACTTATGTTTCTTTGTTATGTGTCACTCATTGTGACCCTTGACCACATTTCATTTATAACATAAAAAACAATTACAGTTTAATTTTTTTTCGAGAAAAATGACATTTGACATAAAGATGGCACTAGTTTTGACCTGTTGAACATGAATATGTAAAAAACAGCGTGTTCCATTTGAAAAAACAAAGTTGCTGGCATTTCCAGAAAATGCCGGAGGTCCGCCATATTGGATTGTAATGTTGTCAAATTGGAAATGGTTGCTGATATAACTGTACCAAATTTCAGAAAAATCCGTTCACGATTGCAAAAGTTACAGGGGTGGCCCAGTACCCTGTGTAACCCGGTATACACCGACCATAGGGAAAGGAAAACAAAATATGAATCTGTAAATACTAATTTGCTTACTTGGTTCTATTTTCTATTGATTTTAGTACAATCATCACTGCCTTCTTGTCGATAATGTTGAGAAATGAGAACAGTGAAGTTATACGGACAATGAGGTATTTTAACTTGGCAACATTGTGTTAGCAGTTGCTTCATCTCTTTCTCTTGTAAACATGGATATGATAGATATAGTAACAGTGTTTAATTTGTTGATTATAACAATTAGTCATCCAAATCATAACATAACTCAAACCCAACCATATAAAAAGCGTCTTACTGTTAAATGTCTGCATCACATTTTATCCTAGCTAATCTTGAAACTGGTAGAATGTAATTTTCGGAGTTCAGAGTGACTGATCACAGCAGTCAATTACCAATCGACCAATCATCTATTACATAGTAATTTCGAATCATGGCATTTCTTGCACCATCTTGCACATAAGATCAATTCAAGGATTTCATAGTCTTGGCAACAGCGGCGTGGTTCCCAGCCGCCATAAACTCCAATCAATCAAATTGCAAGGAGACACTGACATCACAGCTCAGTAGCGTTTGAAATTACAGGTATTGAAATAGCATTTTTTCTGTGACGGGAAAAAAGTTTGGCATTTCATCTCTGTTGACAGGTTATAAAATGTCACTTTTCATAAATTACTTTTTTCCCGTGGGAAAAAAGTGAGTACTTCTTTCCCGGATATATATCACATATATATACTCTGTTAATGGCTTTTGTTGTGCTATAGTTCCGAAAAATAAGTCAATAATACCGTCTCCGAGAAAGAACTGCAGTCCTTTTATCTTCCATTCGACTTCGCGGTTTCGTATATTACTAAACAACTACTGAATTCGCAATTTTTTAAAATCAAATCACAGAATTGAACTGACAGAAGTGACATCAGATATTTGATTACTTCAAAAGAATGATAAAGATGTCTATAAAACGCAGGTGTCCCTACTGTTAAAAACTTGAAATTTCACGTCGATAATTTTCAGATTTCGAAATAATGTAATATCTTCCCAATATTGATTCGTCCTTCCTTCTGTCACAGAAAAAAATAGTGTATTATACACGGGAAAAATATTAGATTTTAGCTCACGGTTTTTTGTCTCCCTCCGCTACGCGTCGGGAGACAACACAACCTGGAGCTAAAATCTACTACTTTTTTCCCTTGTATAATAAATAACTATTTCAACATCAGATGAATATGTAGTCAGGATAACGTTTTTGACTTCCCTTCATGACATTATAGCGAGAAAAGGTCAAATTATACGTTACTGCAAAGGCCCATCGTTTTGATGATGATGAATATGATGAGATAGAATAAGTTTCCGAAAACGCCTTTAGAATTGGCACAATATGATCCTCATGAATTGTAGTTTAGCGCTTGGTTAAAGGACAAGGAAATGTTCATTCTAAAAAAAAAAAAAAAGTTGACCTTGAAAACCACCTCAAGCTTAGGAAATTATATCTGTCGTTGTGCTGACATGAAGACATGTCTAACTTTCAATCTGCGCCAGGAGATAGGAATCTTTTCCCGTAGTTTTCTTGTCTTTGCAACGTCAGATGAAGACCTTGACTACCGCGAATTCTGCTAAACTTATGAAGTGAAACAACTTCTTCCTATTCGCTATTCTAAAATGTTTGGTTTCCAAGGTATGACTGTCGCAAGTTGAACTGTATTTGAGTGTTCATTGAATAATAAGATTTGTCCCCGTAGAATAGAAATATACGACCAGTGGCTGATTCAATTAAAGAGACTGTACCAATTTTTATCGCCATTTTTTCTTTCAGGTAATAATATTCATAATATCAAGAATGCTCTACACTTCTACAAGAAATGCAATTTTACTAGAAGATCCGCAAGGTCTAGCACCAGGATGGATTTTTGGCAAAGGTGATTGTGGATATTCAGGAGGAAAAACCCTAATTGAAATCATGGTAAGGTCCTAACGAGTAATATTAACCTAATATATGGCGTTTCTTGAATTGACTCGGCCGTTACTTGATGGAAATCCATGGCAAATGTAAAAACTTCACAAACGATAAGATTTCCACAAAATTCTCAAACACACATGTTTCGCTAACACAGTAGCTTCGTCAGGTGATATATCCTACTGTAAAAGCAAGCCAATGTTAGTTTAGTTCATCGTACCAGTATATCACCTGACGAAGCTATACTGTGTTAGCGAAACATGTCGTGTGTCGTGTGTGAATTTTGTGGAAATCTTATCGTTTGTGAAGTTTTTTCATTTTAATAAATGGCAACAGACAATTAATGCATTTTGTCGGTTTCCTGACGCTTTTGGTTAATTATTGTGGTAGGTATGTAATTGTTATTTGTGGGTAGTTATCTGTTCTTTTCAGTACATTATTGTCATTGGTTCAACAACGTGTCTGCTCTGCATAAATAAAAATACAAGTTTCGCGAACGTTTCAAAAAATTGGTTTCCTAAACAAAGTGTCACTATTAAAACAATTAAAGGGCTTTCACGCTGGGTTGATAGTTGCACAATACTTGGTAACAATGTCGTGCCAAAACTGCACATCGAAAAATACTAGTAACTTTCGAAATGAGCTAACCGCGTTATCGATTTAAGTTGGCAAAACTGTACACCGATGCCAGATTTATTTGACATTTCTAGAAGCGATTTGTTGTGATCAGCTGATCTCTGGGAATTATTCATTACTGACAATTTGTACTTTCAAGGAATGGTTTGTGATTCATTTGTAGATCATGGGTGAAATTCGAATTATTCAAAATGCCTAAACCATTGAGTGCGGAGGCGCAGAAGATGGTGGTATATGCTGCTATATATTGGGGTTAGAAAATTGTATTATTTAGTGTAAGATTATATCTGTTGATTAGGGTTAGCAAATTGTATTATACAGGGTGATTCAAAAGTAAGCGGCATCCTTTCAGAGGCGTATTCCTTGCATGAAAATAAGGCAAAAAGTTCCTATTGATAAGGATCCGAAAATGCTTCCTAAGGGAGCTACGGCCCTTTGAATAGGACACCTCAAAGACGGTTTTTTCTCTATAACTTTAAAATCCTTCACAACAAATTTTTAAAAATTGGTGTACGGCATAAACATTCGATGGTAAATAGGACTCCGTATTCGAAATAATTTCCAAACGAAATCACAGTAACCTGAATATCCGGAGAAGAAGGGATATTTTTACACTTACCCTCTCCCGCATGTGACGCCCCTGAATGAAATTCTGAAATTTCGAATACGGAGTCCTATTTACCATCGAATGTTTATGCCGTACACCAATTTTTAAAAATTTGTTGTGAAGGATTTTAAAGTTATAGAGAAAAAACCGTCTTTGAGGTGTCCTATTCAAAGGGCCGTAGCTCCCTTAGGAAGCATTTTCGGATCCTTATCAATAGGAACTTTTTGCCTTATTTTCAAGCAAGGAATACGCCTCTGAAAGGATGCCGCTTACTTTTGAATCACCCTGTATAGTGTTAGTTTATTGTAATGACATAGTGGTTTCATGAGTTTTTGTGGGTTTTCCTCATGAATTATATTGAGAATATTGAAGTAAGAACAACTCTTGTTGTCTATTTCATAATTTCCAATAGAAGTAGATGCACCATTATTTATTTTCCCACGAAATAAAATCAATTGATCGAATTGCATTTCACCAATTTATAGTAATTGAAAAACATTCAAATCGATTGACGATTAGATAACCTCAAAATTGAATTCGAAGTGTTCATTATTTTCACTCAGTTAATGTGAATACTGACCAGTTATTTTCAATGTCAATATCTGTGATTGTTTGTTGATGTTGTTATATAATGAATCATTCTTCAAGTTATCATTCTTTATAAGAATTTCATTATCATTAAATTTCATTCTCAGTATATTGTATAGGTTCATGAAATAAGAATATTGAAGTTCATTTTTTAACTTTAAGTGCTGATTTTGAAACATAAATGGACGGCTTTTGAGTTGGTTCCAAAAAACATTATAACGTCCGACGATCGTAGCACTAGACATATCCATATTCGGGCGGTTGGTCATTCAGTCATTTCCTTTCAACTGGCAACACTGTATGTGTTGACATATTGACGTCACTATCAACCCTGTGTGAAAGCCCATTATTACCCATTATATAGAATTCAAAATGAACTGTTCTAAAGCTTGGAAATAATTATGTGAGGCTATCACTTTGTACAAAAAATTTCAACTTTGTTAGCAGTTGTGAAATATTTTGAATTGTATAACTTGGAAAGAAATAAAATAAAGAAATGCTTTTAAAAGCAAGTGATTATCTACTAACTTTTTTCAATCCAGCGCAGTGATTCAATAATAATTCATCTCTCAGTCCGTTTCCTCGGTATAGTTCTCGTTAATCATTTTCAATTAATTTCATTAGTGCATGTTTGTTGATATTATCAATCTCACCTAACCTGTTGTGCGGCAATTATATGTATTGCCTTATTCAGATACCTGAGACCTGAATCATATCTACATGCTTCAATACTTTAAAAATATATATTTTTCTATTTTTTCAATTAAATACTGATGAATGATTCTTTATTATGATGTGTCATCAACATCAACATGAAGGTTCAATCTGGGATTAATTTGTTGTGGAAGACGTAGGGAACTAGTTTCCTTTCACAGAAGAATTGGAGGCACACCTGACCATGAAAAAAATTATTTTAATGAAATATAGCAGCTCATAAAGAAATTATAACCCATGAATATATTCGTAGTTTCAACAACATACTGCCTTGTGATAACCCTTTTTTTTCTCAAGGCTTCTCCAAGAAAAAAGGTTGTAGAGGAAATCCAGGTGAAAACAAAGAAAGATTCAAAATCTGGACAAACAAGTGCACCAAACAAAACTGTTTCAATATTAGAAGAAAAACAAACAAATCACTCAGTAAACCCCACACGAAACTCGACCCTACTTAGGGAAGCCCAAAAGGATGAAAAATCGATGGAAAAAAGTGAGATGATGGATAATTCATTACCAGTGACTATGGAAGAAGAATTGCGAAAATTACAGCAATAGGTGACCTTTTTTATATCTTGTATATTTATTGTAAGTGTAAATAACATAAATGATAATAAAAGTGATAAAAAAACTAGTGTTATTATTTTGAACGTATGGGACATTATGATTTCATCATTTTTTAAACTCGAAAGTAATCTAAGTATACAGTACTTATAATTTATTTTATATAAAGATCTAGTAGGTAGTTATAATACAAATCAATCTTATAGTACAAAATCAGGAAATGAATTCGAGACCTTTTTTCTGTCTGTAATATCATAATTTTTTAACAGTGCAAAATATAAAAGAAAGCCATTAAGTAATTTGAACTCAAAGTAACATGGATAAATGAACAGTTAAAATTTGTCACAAACAAGCCTACTAAAAAGTCTATATTACACTTTTTTTATTCAAATAATAGAGCACAACAACGAAGTGATATTACATTCTATGAAGATTAATTATATTATGTATAATAGTTTTTAAATAATGTTTCTGATCAGACCATTCTGGATAATTTCTTGTAGTAGTCCCCAATTCAACCTAAAGCTGAAAAGTATAAGTCAAAAATCATTTGAAACAACCCAATCTGCATACAGATTTCGAGTATCAGACGAGATTCAGTTCTAGTTAAACAGTGTTAAGTCATCGTTTGTTTGCTGAATGAAGAAAATCCTAGTTACACAGACCATTATTGTCTGGCAAATGCAAATATTCACACTACACTGCCTTATTTGTGAATTCAGGATATCAAATTAAATATTTTTTTATTGAGAACACTTGGGCTGTCATGAAAAAAATTCGAAAATGAAATGTAATTCTTGTGTTTGATTATGTAGTCTCATAGAGAAGAAAATCATCAATTGTATATAAAATATATGGTTGCTAGTGGAAAAATGCGATTATTCATAATTTTCGCTACATGATTCAACAGCGAATCTTCTATAATTAATACACCAATAGTTCATGCTGGACAAAATTTTCAAAGAATGTTGTCGATAGTTTCACAGATAATCCAGATGAGGAAATATATGAAAGGACAAAATGGATATTTCCGAGGCTATACACACGGATGTTTGAGTAAAATGAATTCAAGAAATTCCTTATAATATTCTATTGAACACAACCTGAATATGATGTATCAAAAGGTGAAAAAATCGAATATTGTCTTTATTCTCAATAATTTTTATATATCTGAATTATATGCAGATTATTCAATTGAAATGAAGATTTTGTATAGAGGTTGTTTGGTCCACCTTCACTAAATTCAAATTCTGGTGAGGAATCATCCACAAATATGTGATTGAATATTATTTGTTATATAAACTGCTCCACATTTGAAGTGAGACAAGCGAACATTTTGTTTGTTTTCGAACCGTGATAACTTTGGATGAGATCAACCGATCTTTGATTAGCTTTGAGATTGTGATTGCCCAGTTGATTGGCTATAACATATTTTTTTTACGTTTCTCCACCATTTCGGAATTATGACCTACAGGATGATATCTGAAAGTGTGATACTTTCCGAAAAGTTTGAGGTCGCCCCGTTAGCAGGATAATTTTTTTTAAATTTTTCTGACGGCAAAAACATGAAGCCTAATGTGTTTCCTCGAAATGGTTTCGGATTCATCAAGATCCATACAGGATGTTTTGAGATATGCAATTTTGAACAACATAATGGCTATTCGAATTTTTTGAATACCTTTAATTCATTGGTTAACCCCTCGGTATAATATGTTGTCTGGGAAATAATCAGAAATTGTCAAACATTTGATTATTGTAATAAAATATGCCACGACTAACTAATGAACAATTACAAATGGTTCTCAGAATGAGAGATGGTGGTTTGAATGTTGAAGACATTGGACAGTATTTCGATACATCAAGAGCTTCAATATACAGGGCAATCCGTCGTCACGATCGAACAGGAGATCCTAATTATCGTCACGGAGGTGGACGACAACGGAAGACTTCAGATAGAAATGATAATTTCTTAGTTACTTCGGTACGTCGTCTTCGAACACAGACTGCTTGACAACTGAACTGTGCACTAAGAAATGCAACAGGAGTTGTTGTCTCAGATGAGACAATCAGAAGAAGGCTTCATGAGCGCAATCTGAGAGCGAGAAGGAGGGCATCTTGTACTTTGTTAAAGCTGAACCACAGGATAGCTCGAAGACTTTGGGCTCAGAACCATTTGAACTGGGGAATAGCTGATTGGAGGAGATGTTTATTCGTTGATGAGAGTAGGTGTAATATGTTCAGATCAGATGGAAGGATTTTAGTATGGCGAGAACGGGGTGAGAGGTTTCTGGAGGAAAACATGGAGGCGCGGGTGGCATTTGGGGGTGGGGGTGTTACGATATGGGGCGGTATCATGATGAATCATCGCACCACGTTGGTTATTTTGAGGGAATGTATGAATGCTGTTCGATATCGTGACATGTGTATAAGAGATGTTGTTATACCAGTTGCTCAAAACTTTGGAGACAATTTCGTACTGGTCGATGATAATGCACGACCACATCGTGCGAGAATTGTAACCGAAGTTCTGAGACAACATAATATTGAAAGAATGGAATGGCCACCCGTATCTCCAGACATGAACCCAATAGAACATGTATGGGCTAGGTTAAAATTATGTTTGAAGAGAAGAGAAGGTGAAATGATGAATATTCAACAACTGGAAGATGCGATAGTGGAAGAATGGACAGCTATTCCCCAAGATTTCATTGATGGCTTGATAACAAGTATGCCGAGAAGAGTTAGGGCTCTCGCAGCGGCCAGGGGTGGTGTAACAAAATATTGATAATCGACCACATCTGCCGTTGTTAATTTTTCTTTATTAAAAAAATATTGTGTATTCTGTATTCTCTTCGTATTCTGTATTCTCTTCGTGGTATATGTTCATCAATTCTCATTCTCTACATCCACTGAAAAAAAACATCCTAGCTTTGACAATTTTATTCATAAAATAACCACACTCCACATTCACTTTATTCCTCCCTGCGAACTAACCCTGAAGGTTTTTCGTTCAATTACGAAATCACTTTTGCTAATCCATGATATTGCATATCTCAAAACATCCTGTATGGATCTTGATGAATCCGAAACCATTTCGAGGAAACACATTAGGGTTCATGTTTTTGCCGTCAGAAAAATTTAAAAAAAATTATCCTGCTAACGGGACGACCTCAAACTTTTCGGAAATTATCACACTTTCAGATATCATCCTGTAGGTCATAATTCTGAAATGGTGGAGAAACGTAAAAAAAATATGTTATAGCCAATCAACTGGGCAATCACAATCTCAAAACTAATCAAAGATCGGTGATCTCATCCAAAGTTATCACGGTTCGAAAACAAACAAAATGTTCGCTTGTCTCACTTCAAATGTGGAGCAGTTTAGTTATACATTCAATTTTTGGTTTGTCATTTGCAATTTGATTGTCTGAAAACGAAATAATCATAAAGTGGAAATAAAAAATTAAGTAACTGTATTATTTAAACCTAATAGCTGATGAAAATATAGAGATTTCAAATTTTGCTCTCCTGGGAAATAATTTGGTGGACCCTTCACATTAATTTTCCAGATTTTCGAATCATCCATGCTCTCCTAGACCAACATGAATACTGCATACTTGTTTGTGTTCGTATTCGTATGGTTTGATTTAATTCAAACCTTTGGCTGATTCTCTAATTTTTGCCCATTCCCTACCTTTCTGAATATCTCTTGGAAACTCATGAAATGATAAATTTTCGTTGATCACACATTTATATACGGGGTTTTCTGTTTTTCCTTCATCCGTTTCACAGAGATTCTATACGAATTACATTAAAAATTCGAAATCTTGAATTTTAATTTCAATGACATTTTCTCGACATAATAATAATCTTTATTATTCCCAAGAAACATATATGTTTATCGCAGGGAAAATTATGAAAGAGCAACTAAAAAAATAAAAAATAAAATTAGATATCGGATAATCATTTTTAAATCATATACATTGTACATATAATGTTGTTTCTTCTAGAGACTGTTGAATATAAGTTCTTGAATTGATTTAGGATGATGTAAAGAGAATCAAATACATACGTATTTTTCAGTTCTTTTTTGACAACACTGAACATGACAGCACCTTGGCATTTTGTGAAATGACAGAATCGTAAATGTTGCCAACATAGAAAATCAAAATAATGATATCCAATATGCCAGAAGCAGTGCTCAGCGTAAAATGGTCTAATTGCTGGTATCCCAATGTTATGAAGCCATTTTGCATTCATTAAAGCTTGATCATTCATTGAGAGCTATGAAGTAGTATTAGCCTGTTGATTGGACCATAGGGGATATTGAACACATCCAAAAAACAAGTAGAATTTTAGAATATGAATTTATTCTTGACCTGAAGATATTGACATAGCAAAACAAGTGTCGAGGACTTGAAAATTCATTTTGGTTATTAATAAAACAGTGTAGTGTGATATATTGGGTGTTTCCGAAATTGGAGCGGTGAATAGTGGGTACAAAGAAAAAAAATCGAGATAAAATGAAATTACTTTGTTGATAATAGTTTAAAAATGTGATATGGTGAGAATGTGCATTGAAAACATATTTTGCAATTTATTGTGTCATACTTATACACCACATTTTATTTATCGCTCCAATTTCAGGAACACTCCATGTTAACGGTACTTCGCTATTATAGGCCATTCTTGTTAATAACCGATTGTTTCAAAAAGGCCGCTATTTTGAAAAAGTATAAAATTTAACATGAACTGCAGATGCATCATAAACGTTAAACATTCCAATATCAAGTAGAAATCATGGAAAGTCATGATTTCTCATTTTTGCAAGTTGGGCGGAATTTTTCGAGATCGTACATCTCAAAGAATAATTTTGTATATGTGAAATCTACGGAAAATATAGCCATTCAAATGTATGAGTGTCAAGAAGAAGAAAACTTAATATTTTTAATCTAATGGAAATTACAAAACAGTCCGTTCCTATGCCTATTCATCCCTTCATATTCTGAAGTTCTTAATTTCTTCAGTAACATAAACAGAGAGACGTAGACCATGATCGATAATTTTAAAACAAAATCAAATGAAGTAGAATGAAACCCATTGAAAAAGGAAGAGAATATATAAAAAAATAAAGGAAAAATAAATTACGGTCGATCTGAGGTCGGGAAGAGGGTAAAAAACGGTTAATCTCCATTTCTGACATGAATACAAGTCTTATGGAAAAAAGTAAAAAGGCAAAGTTGTATAGGTAATAAAAATATCTATTTCTTTTATGAATACACACTTTTCACATTAACTCAAAATTTATGTAAAAAATTCAAATAAACAAGTTTTTGGTTTTTTATTTTCGTCATTTACAAAAAAATATTTCACGAAATTTTTTGAAAACTTACCTTTTTATGTCCCAAACACACTGATTTTTTTATTTGGAATATTGTTTTTTTCACCTTGTTTTGACACTCAATAAAAAGCACCATTATTTTCAATCGAAAATTCTCGCGTCATAATATCAGCTTTTTCTGAAAAAGTCGATGGGATTTTTATTCGTTGAAATCTCTACTTCCTTCATTTCTTTGCATTTTCTGAGAACATTTACAACAGTAATGTATAAATATTTTTACACCATCAGAAAGTAGACATTTCAACGAACAAAAAACCCATCGACTTTTTTGAAAAAGCTGATATTTTGACGCGATGATTTTTGATTGAAAATAAGGGTGTTTTTTCGATATTATGTCAAAATGAGGTGAAAAAATTAATATTTCAAATCAAAAATTTACAGTGTATTTGGGACATAACGAGGTAAGTTTTCACAAAATTTCGTAAAAAATAATAATAAAAAACCGAAAACTTGGTTATTTGAATTTTTCACAAAATTTTAGGTTATGTGAAGCAAATGTGGATATAACAGTTAGATATCTTCTTATTACCTACAATAGCCACTCAACTTTTTCCATAGGGCTTGTAGTTTTGCCGGAAACTCGATAAACCGTTTTTCACCCTTGAAAACTCCCCCCTACCACTTCCCGACCTCAGATCGCCCGTAATTTAATTGTCCATTTCATCTTTGTTATATTCTTCTTTTTTAATGGGTTTCATTCTACAATAAATTTTTCTTCACTTTTTACCGTTTTAAAAAACTCTGGTCTAACGTTCATTATTAACCCTTTGACTCACGAGTTCCTGTTTTAAGAGATAGAATTTTGTTATTGTTCATATATCGTCAAAATATGGTATTTGTAAACACAACATTGTTTTCGAATTAACACTCTTAGAAGTACGAAAAAAAATGTGTCTACGATTGTAGACATTTGTAGTCAATGGAATATAATTATGATATTTATTGAAAAATTGTTGTCTTGAAATTGTTGCGATTTTTCTGGAGGCCCAAATCTATCGAGACTTGCTCTTGCCAACCAACATTTTTACATCTCCCAGGAAGGAACACTCCAGTGTGCTCTAGTATGTGATTCACATTGTCCAACTTTCTACAAGATGCCTCACCGCGACACGGCTGAACTGGGACGTCGTTTTTTGACAGCCTCTTTACCCTACCTTCTTTCTAGAAAATCCATTTTTGACATTTGTCCACGAATTTATGAGTGCCATATCTAAAGCATGAAATATCATCCTCAGTGTATATTTCAAACAGATAACCAGTTCATTGAATACAAACGTCTACAATTGTAGACACGAGATTTTAGGGGTCATTCACAATCCCTAGGCGAAATATTATACGAAAATAAATATGAAGGCATCGCTGCGGTATATATTACTACTTGTATCTGACAGATGTCACCGCTAAATGGCTAACATATGTGTAGTGACATCTACGAATGTTTTCAGTGTTGTAGAAACGCGAAACGAAGCGAGTTATTGTTACCACAGATACTGGAAAGTTAGTGTCAACAATTGTAGACAACGTGAGTCAAAGGGTTAAATAACGGTATTTCTAGGTTACAAATACACTAATTATAAAAATTCATAAACACTTTGATAACCCAAACACCCATACATTATAGTTTCGCAAAACTTCGTTCAATCAATGATGATATTCAGTAGTTTTTCGTACATATATTTTAAACGTTTTGTAGAAATACTAAGATAGACACAACAAATATCCTTGAAAAAACGAGAATCTCAGAGCAAAGATTCGATGTATCGCCCAATGACCAATATTTGTAATTATTCTGGTAGGAATTCATCAACTATCTACGTAAAATACCGTCATTATCATGAAAAACTCACCAGCAATCCCCGTTATGGCTTCTCCCGCCGAATATTTGACATCAACATCAGTATCTACGTTCAATTTATCCAGAACCGGCTTAACCTGAGGCTGTATAACTGCTTGATCTAACTGTGGGGCGATCTTTTGTAAAGTTTTCGCTACATTGAACCTAGAACAAGAAATTTCAATTCAAAAGGCGGAAGCAGGAAGCGGAGATTTCATATGTCGTAATACAAGGATATCTATATTCAAAATAAATCAAAAGTAAAAAATAATTTTAATCAAAAGCAATTTATTCAAATGATCTAAAAAGAATAACATAAAATGTTCCTTTATAATTATAACTATCAACTTATAACCTCATTATACACAATTTATATTACCATAAAAGCGAGTCGCGATGATCAATATTTAATTGAATTTCAAAAATCCAAACAGATTTTACAAAATTGTATTAGTACTAGTTTATTCACACACGCCGACTATACACATTATAGAGGAATAAAGGCCTGCAACAAATTATCAGAAATTAACAACATTAAAAATTCAATTCAGGAGTTCATTCCTTTGTTTTCTAAATGAAAAAATCTATTATGACATCAATTGTTGGAAATAATTATTTCCTACTGCTATTTTTTTCTTGTTCGTTCTTAGTGTAATTTTATTAGTTGCTACAATTTTTATCGTTGCTATTGTCTTCAGTTTTCTACAGCAATAAAGATATTAGTATCAGAAGCTGATTGATTTACAGCAATGCCAACTTTGGAAATGCAATAAATTGGATATGGTATTTCATCTTGATAGTCTGACTTTTTGCCATGGAGTGTGTTAAGTTCAATTATTCGACAAATTCATAGTTATTTTGATCGAAGACCTACTCACAACTTTTCCCAATAACTGAGACAGATTGTATACACCCGATGGTAAAATAATTTTGATGATTCAAAACGCTCTTGAATGAGACCTCATTCAAGACATTTACTTTCCAGATTGAAATTCATTTTTCTTGAAAAAGGTAGTGATTCAGATAGTATTTGTGAGATAAGTTACAGTTTTGGAAGTAAATTTCGTTGAAAGAACATTGTTCCAGTAAACGATGGATCATATTGAGCCTGGTGATGTGTCAGTCAGAAGAGCAAAATTTGAAATCCATACAATTATCATCACAATCATTTGTGCCATACATTCAAATTGGAATTATTTCGAGATACTATAGATAGAATAGTGAATAAGAGTGAGGACTGAATAACATCAATGTGATTGACTATGAATTTCACAATGAGGGCAACTGAGACGTAGTTTTTGTTTTCTTTTGATTAATATATCATTTTTTTACAATTTTCTCTGTTAATATGAATGAAGCAAGTAAAATTTCAATTTTGACAAATTTTCGGAAAAGCATTCTTCAGCATTCAGAGCAAAATTTTGTGACTTTTGATTTAATATAACTCACGCTGTAGTAGCGTTAACTAGTGATCATCAATAACATGGAAACTGAGAATATTTAAGAACTCAAAAGTAAATCTTGATCTGTTTATTTCTTGGAGCGCAAGAAAGGGTATTCCTATTATGTACGACAAACATCGTGCGTACCTAGGGAAGATAGGGAGAGGAGGTAGGAATCGAATTTTAACCCCTCATTCACTATCCTGCATCATTTTCTCATTACATGTTGAAATTCTGAAAAAATCCATCATCAATCACCCATACATATTATTAGAAAAATGATCCTGTATGTAATTTTTTGTGGCCATTATGCCTGCATACTCGAATGTTTCAAATAATTTCATGAAAAAAAAGAGTCGAAGTAATTCAATTACTTACTCATATAATAAATTCATATATCGAGAGAACAAAGGAATTAATTTCCTCTTGTGTATCACATTTGATGCCAGAAGCATAGCCGAGGTAAGAATATACGAATATACAGGGTGGTCGAAGTTCTGTTACTTACATTAATTCAAAGAGGCTCACAAATGAGGAATTATTTAACGAATTAAGAGCATTAAGGAATATACATGAAGATGAAATGATTACCTATAATAAACCTCCGGCAATCATTATTTACAAACAAAATACACCCTTCCTAAACATTCAACAAACCAGTAAACAGAGGAAATAGTCTTGAGACGAACATTTGTTCAGCAAAAAAGGATATGAACGTGAGAAATTACTATAACTATTGTGGTAATGGTTACAAATTTAGTAAATGTGAAAGCTTGTTCCTTCTGTGATGGCATGACATCTCAAATTGTAATAAGAAACCCCCTGTTGTGCGAATTGCAGAACGGTCGGTGTTAAATATGGTAAAGAACAAACTTTTTTTTTTGGATGTATGATAAATTGACATTCATCATACAGGATGTGGAAAGAAATTTTGAATTGAGAAAAACCTAATCACGAATCTGCCATTGAGGTCTATAAAAATAACAAGTTTCTATAGTTCAAGTTTGAACCCCTTGATTGGATATACAGGGTGACCCAGGGTTAAACCGCCAAACGTTCAGGATCAGTTTTTTAGGCAAAAATAAGACTCCTTCTTTCCATAAGCATGTTTCCTAACTTGCTTCATTTAAGAGATATAAGGTGTCAAAGTTTTTAGAAAAAAACAGTTTTTCATTAATTACTCAAAAACCTTTTTGCTGATTTTGATAAAACTTGGCATGCTCATTTGAGGTAATAAGGGGCTCCTGTTTACTATTCACCTAGAATAAAATCAGTATTTCCAATAGCGTCCCAGAGGACAATATATCTAATATTAGTATAAATCATGGTACGCCACTGTTTTATTCGCATGTTTATTTCTTAAATTAAACTTTCAAAAAAACATTTTTTTGTCATCGATTCTTTTTGTATAGGTACATTGGTTTTTTGAAAAAATTCAATAGCGCTTTTGTATAAAGCTGCGAGAAAATTACATTTCACGGAAAACGTGGCGTACAATGATTTATCCTAATATTGATAGATTACCCTCTGGGACGCTACTGGAAATAATAATTTCATCCTAAGCAAACAGTTAACAGGATCCCCTTATTACCTCAAATGAGCATACCAAGTTTTATCAAAATCAGCCCAAAGGTTTTTGAGTAATTAATGAAGAACTGATTCTTTATCAAAACTTTGACAACCTATATCTCTAAAATGAAGCAAGTTAGGACACATGCTTATAGGAAGGAAACGTTTTATTTTTGCTTAAAAAACTGATCCTAAACGTTTGGCGGTTCAACCCTGTGTCACCCTGTATATACAGTGTGTCCACCTTAAGGACTTACCACCCCTGTAAAATCGTTATTATCCGACCAATTTCAAAAAACCTTTTTTTGTTGGATAGGTATTTGAAATGCCCATCTAACGAGAGAGTGATCTAATTCTTGGACTGTTATCGTGGCCAACTGCGACAAATTTCAATGACCCATATTCCAGAAAGTACTATTAGGGATTTTTTTCCACGAAACTTGATGATGGATTCTGAATCAGTACCACTTGAAATATACCTGTACAGATTTTCATCATCATAAAACACAGGGTGTCCAAAAAAACGAATCATCATTTTCTTCAAATAGGTGATCAGCAAATGTAGTTGTGTGGTTTTTCTAGAAAGAAATAATCACAAATTATCATTGAGGATTATTTCAAATATACCTGTACCAATTTTCGTCATTTGAATATACAATGTGTCTGAGAAAAAAATTAAAAAGGATAGGTAAGCAATATTTTTCATCCTGATAATTCTCCACTCAAAATAAAAAGATGAATCAGGATCACTTGGAACATACCTGTACCGATTTTCATCATCATTAAACACAGGGTGTTCGAAAAATCAAATTAATATTTTTTTTGAGTTGATGAAAAAATATTGCCTACTTTTTCTTTTTAATTGTTTTCTCATACACATCGTATTTTTGAATGATGAAAATCGGTACAGATATGTTCAAAGTGATACTCAATAATAATGTGTCATCAATTCTTCTCAAAAATACCACAATACTACATTTTCTGATCACCTATTGAAGAAAAAAACAATTCGTTTTTTCGGACACCCTGTGTTTTATGATGATAAAAATCAGTAAAGGTGTTTTTCAAGTGATCGTGATTCAGAATCCATCATTGTTCTTTGTGAAAAAAAAATCCCTAATAGCACTTTCTCAAATGGGTCAATAAAGTTGGTCGCAGTTGGTCACGATTACAGAATTCGCATTCTCCATGTGATGAAAATATTAATTCTTTCTCGCTTTATTCACTAGAAAACAACTACTTTCACACACAATTCTCACCAAGACCACTATATCTATGCACCGAATTACCATCAGCAATACTCTCTCATAGAAAAATCATGTCCGATCCATTGCAAAAGCTGCTTACATGCTTCTGTAGCTATTTGGCGAGGAATTTAAAGCAAACAATCGTTACTTCGTTTTTAGATTCAATTGTAAGATCATTATGAACAATCCTGAAAAAATATTTGTTCAACAAACATGTATACGACGCGTCCACCACCCCATAAGTTGTCAAAACATCAACTAGCTGTTGGTGATTTTGTCTGATAAAATTTGCGGCTTCTATTTCACAGTCCGACGACTTGAAATTGTGAAGGATCATCATGAATTTGTATTCACCTGACATTGGCCACTTTATCGTTCGCCATGCCCAGCACAGTAGGCAGCAGCAGCCGCGTAGTAATATCGCTTAAAAAAATTGATTGCTTCATTATGTTTTTTTTTTTACTTTGCCTTTCGAATAAAACTTATCATTGATAGAAGTGTCTAATGGATTTTTGTTCTGGTTCCAAAAATTGATCATTTTGATGAATCCACCATCTTCAATTCCGAAAATTCTTCTAAACATGCGTCAATTTGTCGAGGTATTTGAAGCGAATCATCTTCACTTCGTTTTTAGATTCAATTGTAATATCATTAATAAACAAACCTGGAAAAGTATTTATCCAACAACATGTAGGAGTATATGACGCGTCCACCACCCCACCCCGTAAGTTGTCAAAAATCGAGTTAATGATAAATCATCAACAACTAGCTGTTTTTTTTCTTCTATTCACAGTCCGACGATTTGAAATTGAATTGATTGCTTTATTATAGTTTTTTTACTTTGCCTTTCGAATAAAACTCATCATTGATAGATGTGTCTAACAGATTTTTGTTCTGGTTCCAAAAAATGATCATTTTGATGAATCCACCATCTTCATTTCCGAAAATTCTTCTGTTCATGCGTCAATTTGGCGAAGTATTTAGAGCGAACTATCTTCACTTCGTTTTTAGATTCAATTGTAAGATCATTTATGAACAAACCTGAAAAAATATTTGTCCTACAAACATGTCGGAGTATACGGAGTATACGATGCGTCCATCACCCCACCCCGTAAGTTGTCATTACAAGGAAAATATTAGAGAAAGTGCAAAGATTGGCATGTTTTTGCATAACAGGAGCAATGAGATCAGCTCCAACAGCAGCACTAGAGGTCATTTTGGATCTCATACCTCTACACATCGTGGTGAGGAGAACTGCCTATGGAGCACATCTCAGGTTAGCCAAGGTCGGACTAAGAGGAAAAACGCACAGTGCAAGGGGCTCACCCCCCACTGAGATTGCACACCTCGCCGATCTTTCAACAGACCAAATCATAAGGAAGTTCAGTTTTGAGAAGAACTTCCGAGTGGAACCGAGCAACAAGCGCGAATGGAGCATAGAATCCATCGAAGCGCTGGGAAGAAACACCATTACTTGGTATACGGACAGGTCTAAAACACCCGAGGGAACTGGAGCAGGAGTCTTCGGGCCTCTCACCAAATACTTCGAATCTTTGGGACAATTCCCCAGCATTTTTCAAGCGGAAATACACGCCATAGGAAGAAGCATCCAGTTCAACCTAGACAGGGAATACCGGAAGACGGACATCGCGATTTTATCCAATAGCCAAGCAGCCATCAAAGCGTTGAGCTCTCCTAACATCAACTCGAAGATGGTATGGGAATGCCTAAGCAAATTGAATGAGCTAGGCAGCAACAATAAAGAGATCCTCCTCTGGGTGTCAGGGCATATTGGAGTGGAGGGGAATGAACAAGCAGACACTCTGGCACGACAAGGGGCTTCAACGCCACTGATCGGACCAGAGCCATTCTGCGGCCTTGGAAATTCCTATTTCCAAGGAGAACTTGAAAAGGAGGAAGGAGCCTTGAGAGCCAGACAATGGAGAAGACCTCCAGGACTACGGCAGGCTAAAGATCTCCTTGGAAAAACGAATAAGGCTAACGGTCCTGATGGAATTCCACCCATTATCCTCAAAAAATGTGCACCAGAATTAACACCGATTCTCTGCAAGTTGTTTACCGTCTCGTACAGGTCGGGTATTTTTCCATCATGCTGGAAGACAGCTAGAGTCCAACCAATCCCCAAAAAAGGGAACAAGAACCTGCCCAACAACTACAGGCCCATTGCCCTGTTATCAGTAATCTCCAAAGTTATGGAGAAAGCCATCAACATTGAGCTCATCAAATATCTGGAGAGCTCGGGAATCATCAATGATAGACAATACGGCTTTCGCCACCGAAGATCTACTGGAGATCTACTTGCCTACGTCACCCATTTATGGCAAGCTTCATTAGAAAAACACGGGGAATCTCTAGCTGTCGCTTTGGACATATCGAAAGCATTTGACCGTGTTTGGCACGAAGGACTCCTCCACAAACTACCATCATACGGCTTACCACCTCAGCTATGCCATCTCTTATCGAGTTTTCTTTCAGGCAGATCGCTTCATGTAGTGGTGGACGGTGTATCGTCTGATACAATTGGCATCAATTCCGGCGTTCCACAAGGATCAATGTTGGCACCAACATTATTCCTTCTTCATATCAATGATCTGTTGGGAGTAACAACTTGCCCCATCCACAGCTTTGCAGATGATAGTACCCTCCATACAGCGTTCTCTTCCAGAATTCCTATTTCTTCCCAGGAAACTAAGAACACACGGCGCAGGCAGGTCAATGCTGTCAATGAAGACCTTGCTGAAATCACAGCCTGGGGAACCAACAACCTAGTTGAATTCAACGCCACCAAAACTCAAGCCTGTATTTTCTCTAGAAAGGCGGAACTCAGTATGCCCGACATTGTAATGTCTGGCACCACCATCCCCACCAAACCCACCATATCTATGCTCGGTATTTCCATCAGCAACACTCTTTCATGGGATAATCATGTCAGATCCATCGCAAAAGCTGCTTCACAAAAACTCGGATTCTTGTTCCGTGCGAAATGCTACTTTACACCTCAACAGCTCCTCATGATCTACAAAGCGCAGATACGGCCTGTTCTAGAATACTGTTCCCACATATGGGGTTCAGCACCGAAACATACGCTGATGCTCTTAGATTCCATCCAGAGAAGAGCCATCCGCTTGGTGGGTGACGCCACACTCACTCGCTCTTTGACATCATTGGAACACCGTAGAAAGGTCGGCGACCTTTCACTTTTCTATCGATACTTCCACGGGAAATGTTCTTCGGAAATCTCTGCTATCATCCCTTCACTAGCAATACCAGTCAGACGAACTAGACAAGCCCAGTCAGCACATCCCTTCGTTGTCAACCTCGAAAGATGCCGAACAGCACTTTATCAAAACTCCTTCATCCATAGAACGGCTAGGCTCTGGAATTCATTGCCTGTGGAAGTGTTCCCAACAACATATAATCTCCAGAAGTTCAAAAAGAATTCCAATACCTACCTCCTATCCCTATCCTCCCTAGGAACGCACGATGTTCTTTGAACATTATAGGGATTCCCTCTCGTGCGCTCCAAGCGATTAAAAAAAAAAAAAAAAAAAAAAAAAAAAAAAACGGGGCATTGCAGACTCAAAGGACACCTAAGAAAGCTAGGCTTACAGGAGGACGGCACCTGCAGATTCTGTGAGGTAGAACCAGTAACACCCCACCTCATACTGATGGAGTGTGACACTGTACATCACAAAAGATTGAACATACTGGGAACACACCAGCTGACTGTGGAAGAAATACCACAACTAGACCCCCTCAAAATCATCAAATTCCTTAAGGAATTGAATCTCGAGGGGCTGCTATGAACAAGAAATCCTTGATATAGCAGGAGCAGATGGGGCACAATAGATCTAATTAGGTCGCAGCGCATCTGTCACCATCCAACCTACCAATACCAATATCAATATCAAGTTGTCAAAATACAAGTTAATGATAAATCATCAACAACTTGGTTTTTTTTTTCTTCTATTCACAGTCCGACGATTTGAAATTGTGAAGGATCATCATAAATTTGGAATTACCTGACATTGGCCACTTTGTCGTTCGCCATGCCCAGCACGGTAGGCAGCAGCAGCCGCGTAGTAATATCGCTGCCGCACGCCTCTGCCAGTACGTTGACGCAAAACAGGCACGTCATGCGGTAGAGGTAGTTCTGGTCGCGCGACATCGCCAGCACCTTGGGCACGATCGTGTTCTCCGCCCATTCGGCGCCGAACTGGTCGACCAGCTTGCGCAGGTTCATCGTGGCCGCCTCCCTGATGGCGAATACGTGGTCCATCAGCCACGTCATACAGAGGGCATTGAGCTTCTCGTCGAAGAACTCGCGGCCGAGTTGACCGGCCAGCAGCGGCATGTACTCGATTATCGCCGATCTGGAAATTGGAATTTACAATTTGATACATTTTTCTCCAATAGGCAAGAACACTAATTTCTAGAAATAACACTATAAAGTTCATCACGATGAGAAAAGACACCAAGTATCAGTACTGGGACCACTTTTGTTCCTAATCTACATAAATTCCATCTCCCAAATAAATAATTTCGAAGGTTATCCCATTTGTTATGCTGATGATACAGCACTGAGTTTTGAAGGAGATACTTGGGAGAAAACATTCGAGATTGCTAAAAAAGAAATGTCAAAAATCCAAACCTGGCTCAACTTTAATTTACTCAGCCTCAATATAAGCAAAACCAAATTCTTAGCCTTCAGTCTGACCTCAAGTGACCAACCTCAAAACTACTCATTAACAATACATATAACGTCTTGTGTCTCCAACCAAAGATGTATCTGCCCGACATTAGAAAAAACAACCTCCATTAAATATCTTGGAATCATTATTGACCAACACTTGAGATGGGACAATCATATAACTCACCTAATAAAAAGAATGAGACAACTCACGTTGAAGTCTGCAAATCACGCGTAAAATATTCAACTTGGCAACATCTATAGGAGGCTCGACTCCTTTACTTTGCGCAGCCCACGCGCGCAATGCAAATGCCCGACTACGGCCGAATAGCACGTGTTTGTCGTGTCGCGTCGCGAATTGCGGACAATCCAATGCGAGTGCATTGTTTATGTTTATGTTAAATTGATGGTTAGGGGCTCTATAAATTTCTGAAAAATGAGTGTTATAAACGATTGCGATTTAGTGGAATACTTTTTGGTGAACCCATTCAGTGCTTTGTCTTATGAAGATAAATTAATTGTGAAAAACAAACGTCCGACACCGGAATTAAAAAATCTGATTGTAACAGGTAGCAAACAAAATCGTTCGTTCAATTCTGATAATTATAAAAAATATATCTGGTTGACGGGATCTGAGGTAAGGAATAAGCTATTTTGTTGGTACTGCGTATTATTTTCAACCGATAAGTCATCATGTTGGGGGCGATTAGGATATAATGATTTGAAAAATTTGCCTCGCGATTTGGATAGACACTGCAAATCACAGGAACACATTTCTTCGAGTATTAAGTTCAGGTTAACTGGTAAACAGAATGTCAATAAAGCTATTGATTTGGGTGAGTCGTAGAGAGTTGTTTTTCACAATGAATCTCATATCATTCAGCCTCCTCTGTCATGAAAGTCACGAGCCGCCACTGGTGTGTTCAACTATAATTCAAATATGATACAGAATACTCAAAATGCATTGTTAAAAATAATTCTCAAAAAACAAAGACGATATTCAACCGAGGCCATTTATAGAGAAACTAAAATACTTGTTGTAAGATGGATTTTCAAAAATCAGAAACGGTTTGAAACACCAAATGTCAGAACTACTAGATATACTGAGAATAGGTCCAACAGGACCACACTCAAAGGTTAATTTATTTCTACAGCCCAAAGCTCTATAATTTGCTGCCGATTGACCTCAAAAATACAAGTAAATTAAATATTTTCAAGAAAATGATAAGAATTTTTTTGTTCCAAAATCCATCCATTACGAGACAAACACACAAAAAAAATATAATAATAATACTAATGAAATATGCCGTCACCATTTCTCTCTTATTCCCTCGCTCGCTCTCGCTCTCTCTCTCTCTCTCTCTCTCTCTCTCTCTCTCTCTCTCTCTCTCTCTCTCTTTCCGCACTACTCGCCTTATAGTATAGTATCATTATATGCATACCCCATCTGGACAACTCGGAAACACAAAAGAAGTATCTGATACTTAGTTGTTCTCCTTTTGTCTAAAAGGGGGTAATAATGAATGAATAATGAATAAATATCCATATATGTATGTATGTATGAAATAAATCTGAATCTGAATCTTTTTGAAATTTTCATTCCTTCTAGATTAGATAGATAGAAAAAGTGTCTCTCCATGTTTATTTGATAAAAAGCTATTGAACACTGAAGTTGGTATTTTTAAATAAATGTCAACTGACCCCACCGTAATAAAAATCAAAACTATCGGGTTTTAGTAGGTGTAGTCGGTTTTAATACGAATGCAAAATATATCCAAATTCATATTGTTTACAGAACAATTCGTTTCCTGGCCCACTTGTTTTTCATTACGGCGGGATCAGTTGGGATTCATTTGACCACTTTGGCGCTGCGATCTTAAATTCAGTACAGTGACTGTATTTTACACAGTGACGACAATGATATGTAATTTTTTCTATTGGTCGATAGAAATCCGCCATGTTTCGGCAAAAATAGTAGTGTTTTTCTGGTGTTTTGCTGTTTTTTCTCATGGAGGATCAAATATTTCTGCAGAACATAATATTGGTAAATTGGAAAATATTTTTAATAATAATCATAATAATAATGATATGTCATCTTCTCTGCCGATAGATATTAGAAATCCGCCATGTTTACTTTGTGTCGGAAATTGTGGTGTTTCTGTGGATTCGTCGTTTGTTCATATGCGGTATTATTTTCCATTCGATCAAATATTCCTGCAGAACATAATATTGGTAAGTTTAGAAAATATTTTTAATAATTATAATGGTATAAGATCATCCTATTTATTTTAGATTTCATCTACCTGCATTTTGCATATTTAACAATACAGGCAAATATAGTACCTACAGCTACAGTATGCAGATTTGCAATGACTTTATTGAATGGGGACAAATTGGGTGATCCAATATGTTATGTGAAAGCTTCTAGAAGCCTCTTATTAGACTTTGCATGCAGGATAGATTCCTGATGATAAAATATGATATGTTATCTCCATAGCTCCAGCTACCCCATGTCATTAAGAAGCTGTAGAATACCAAACATATGAAGAAATAATCTGAATGAATAAGCAGTGACTTGAAACAGCATGAAATTATAAATACTTAAAGCACGTGTTTCGAAAATTTTGAATTTTCAGTGTATGTGGTTGAAGTTAAGTTTATGGAATACAATGTGATGAAAATATTTGAAAAAACTACCCATTAATACAAGAACCTTATAATATTTGCACAAAGTGGATGCATATTGTCAGTCAGAATGACTTGAGTGGAAAATTTTGTTTTTATAAAGATGTCAGTGATTTGAATTTGCTGTATTTTGAGTATGATTACTACTGCAGGCAATAATAATAACTATTATTGATAACAAATAATTTGTATGAAAAAAATTATTTTTATTTCTCACATATCTCCCTAATACACTACCTGATAAATATACATATAGGTGATTGACATTAACCAACACCGATGATTACTATAGGTATGTAGTATTTTTATCATTATTTACTATTTAGCAGTAAAAAATTATGAACTGTCGATCATTTCAATCATGCTCAGATAGGCACAACGCCTACCAAAAAAACATAAAATACATAAAAAATCTTCAATTTCATAATGGGGTTATAAACATTAGTCGAATTTATACCACATATCTATTTGATATTGATAATTCCGAGTATAAATAGCATTTGATGCAATCAGCCATTTAAAATCATCAGGAATACTTTTCTTCAACAATTAAAATCGACACCTTTCAAAAACGCCAGCTCTCGATGACGTCAACAGTATTCACATTCATAGAGGACCATGGTTACACCTGGTCCCTAATAATCATTTATTAAATATTCATACTCGTTTGGCAAAAATAATGTTCCTATAGAGATACCGTGTAATGTAAGCGTCGTTGCCCTACCTACTCGAGTTACCACTTGTGGCAAATGATAATCCCTGCGATCGCGCCGAACAATGGACTAGCTCAATGGGGGAGGTAACTCGATACGACGCGTATGGCAACGTCGCCGTTCTCTTCGTTTAAATGCCCATGCACAGAATGCACACGGATTCCCTATAGGCAAATTATTTTTGCCAGGCGTGTATTTCTTCCAAGATGCTTCAGTCCCAATAAGAATATCCTATTTATCCTATCCTATCATTTTTGTTCAAACCCAAACTATTTTGTGACCATGGCAAGAGCGTAATGCTTAGAGTTCACATAAATATCAATGAAAGAAGAATAATTCTAACCTACTTTTTAACGCCATCCTCGTCTGTCACCTTCATCTTCAAAACAAACAAAAAAATCTAGTCAATTCTATCAAATACTGAGTAAACAGAAACTTGAGCTTCTCAAAAAAGCAATCGACAAATTTTCTTACAAGAAAGTTTGGACCTCGAATGGAAATATCTTCACAAATATCGATGGAAAGAAAATGATGATCAGAAATGAGAATGATATATAGACATAAATAAATAAATCGACACGGCAAGCGGAAACAGAAAAATGTATCTACTTACTCGTTTTTCTATCTAGTTTTAAGATTTAAAATCATTTGTATTTTCATAGTTTCTTGTTGTGTTCATTCCGTTCAAACCAGAAGAATATTGGTATAATTTTGTCGGTGATATTGTGAAAATTATAAATACTAATAATGATTACTATTCCATGTTATTACCAGAATTTTAGGGGGCTTAGAACAAAACTTAATGATTTCAAACAGAGGAAGAGCATTATGATATTATCTTAGGCACAGAGACATGGCTCAATGAGACAATTTATGACTCAGAGCTGGTGGATGTCAATAAATATAATTTATTTAGATGCGATAGAAGTAAGGAAATCACAAATAAGGAAAGAGGAGGAGGGGTACTGATTGCAGTGGGTAAAAATATAAAGTAGCACATTGGCAAAACAAATCTGGTAAATATGAATCCATTTATATCAAAATAAAAATAGCTAAATCCGAATTTATAACGGTTTTTGTAGTATATTTTCCACCGAAGGCAGATTTAGCATGCTTCACGGATTTTATTGAGTTTTTTGAAAGCAAAGTCATTGATGATCGTAATGTTTATATAATTGGAGACTTCAACTTGCCAAACCTACGTACTGACGTTATCTCTAATACCGGACTGGACGATCAACATAAACTTTTCATTGACTTCATCGATGTCAACTCCATGATTCAGTGCAATGAAGTGAATAACTTGCATGGCAGAAGATTAGATCTTGTGTTATGAACCATTGAAAATTCACATAAATGCAAAATTGCGAAGTCAGATTTTCCACTCATAATAGAGGATAATAATCACCCCGCACTACAATTACACATAAATATAGACAATAATCGAACTAATGATGATAAATTCAGTGAGGAGGAAAGATCATACAACTTTAAAAAATGTGACTTCTTGAGACTTGCGCGAATGATGAACGATATAGACTGGACGCCACTGTTCGAGATACAGAACGTCAATACCGCATTGGATTTCTTTTACGATGAGATTTACCAAATTTTCAACGTAGTAGTACCCAAGTCTAATAAAAAAACTAGTAAATTTCCTGTCTGGTTCAGTGAAGAGGCAAAGGAAAGTTTGAAAAACAAAAATCAGTATAATAAACTGAAGAACACATCCGAAAATTACATGAACCTATTTTAAAGAGAAAGACAAAACCTAAAAAGACTAATCAAAACCTGCCATTCAAATTATGTAACTAATATCGAGAACTCAATAAAAACAGATACGAAGGCGTTCTGGACTTTTATAAAAAATAACAAAAAGAATAGTACTTGGGCACCTGCACTGGAGCATGGAGGTGACAAAGTCGAAGCGAGCGAATCCGCGAATACCTTTGGAAAATACTTCGAGTCTATTTACAGCGATATAAAACCTTCATATAACGTCGAGTTTGATGACAACGAGGTAATGAGAGAGTCGTATGATATTGATAATATACCTATAACTGATTACTATACAGGTATGAAAAAATTTTTTCAAACAAATTGTCACTGACAAGCTACTGGATTTTTCTTTTAGACTCCCTGATAGAAAAATTTGTTAAACGCAGTGACATTTTGGGGCAAATCATCTGATTTGTCCCTCTACAAATATATTGAAATAATACGAATACTTTTATTTTATAGAAACGAGGAGAGAAAATCCCAAAGAACCAAGTAAAATGAATGTACCACCTCCTCGATTAACCTACAGACAGTATTCAAACAACAGTTCATCGATAATGTACCAACTATGATGAAATTATGAATTTATAACGAAAAATTATTGGAAACATCAGCAGATATCTTTATGCACATTGAGACTGATTCAATATTAAGTTTGTATGTAGTATAGTTTTCTCATGTAATTAGGTGTAAACCTGTTTGAGAAATAAATAAATAAATAAATAAATAAATAAATATTCAAAGATAATACTCACATTATATGATTCTACAGTTGTGTGTTTACTTCTTTGTTATCTGCAGTAAGTATTCATTCGAGAAAAGTAATTTCATATTTTGATGAAAATGGCAATCAGAAATATTCTTGCACTTCTCTTACAGAAATAGAGAATGTAAATGTATTTCAAATCTTATAATATGGTTGCATTGGATTGCTCACGAGTGATTTCGTCGAATTGTTCATATTATGAAGTATCGTGAATTTCAATAATTATTCGAAAAATGCACAGAGCTCTGAGGAAAAATGGTTCGTGACAGTGGACTAGTTAGGGTTAGTAATTCGAAAAAATAAAATAAAATTTTTCACTGGAACACGCCCATTGTTCTCTTCATTCCAAACTTTGATTCACACTGACGATTAATGAACATTTATGTGAAACGTCAAAATACGCATCACGCAAGGGACAGTCGGAGGTGTCTAGATGATGAAAACTACAAAATCGTGTTGTCATCATGAGTTCAGCAGCTCAAGGGACGATATACATGACTTTTGGTCACATTTTTAGGGTTGATTTGATTCATTTTTATTTATGGTGAGAGAAAAATTTATTTACAACGAATAAAAGTGAGTGACTATCACAATGTTGGCTGAATTTTAATGTTGGTTGTTATCTATTCCTAAATATGAAAATATTACCACATTCGTGTTAGCCTACTGCTGGTAAGTCATTTTGTTATATTTTTGAACAAAATACCAATGAACACGAGAAATACAAAAACGAAAACACAGCAAAATCGAAAACAAAATGTTTCCGATTATCAACAGATATTCCAACCAATCAAAAACGTGTATTATGGTGCCTTACCTGACCCTCCATTTGGAGTCTTCGGCAAGTTCGACTATGGCCGGCAATAGTGACTGTGACAGCTGCTGGATACCGATGACCTCGTTGACGCAATCCAAATTGGAAATTATATTCAGCCTAACTTCAGGACACTCGTCCTTGAGCTGTGTCAAAAACAGCGGCAGCAAATGCTCGATGGTATTGTGCCTGCCTGAAATTAGAGTTCCTGAATGTACTTGACACTTTCGTTTTGACGATTTTGTATATTTAGAGTACGGACACTCGACAAGCAGTGACAGTGAGATATAACAACAAATGATGAGCAGATCATGTTTTGCCAGACAAGGACAAGAAAATGTTTTTCGCTTAAATTGAAGGCCTCTCGCATCTTCCTTCCTCTACATGTTTAGAGAAGAGTACATCCATATATATCTTTCTGCCTTACATTTTCGAATAAGAAAGCATAGCGTCTCTTCGAGAGGGAAAAGGGTACGATAAATTCCACCCAGCATAACGACCAAAACATGGAGTAGCGATTTCATACTTCTGAATGTTTCATTGCCAAAAATTGAGGAAGCTACACAATATTGTTTTCCAGGCGTGATTGCCATTTCACCCGAATCAGGCCAACAGTCCCATCACACGGATAAGAATTTTGAATGTTGATGTTCAGATAATGAAAATTTTCATTCCACATATCGAGTTGAAACTTAATGTTTGGAATTCGTCCATCCAGAGTTGGCTGCGATGGTAATTCACATTGAAAGGACCCCGCACAAAACCATATGGAATTGGCCCACAGTGGGATTTGCCTGAAATTCACATATGTTATTGGTATGGAGTTTCTGATCAAATCTTTTCATGTGACCAATCCTCTAAGACCAAAGATCTAGCTCTCAGGGCCGTATTCAGTATAGGTGCCGAATAAACAGTGACTCTTTTTTTTCAAGCCCATGATTTTTGTATCTCCCATTATAATTCAATTGAATGAGAAATGTTGCACAATCTTAGCATTTGTCTTTTAGCACAAGTCTTCTATAAAACATGCCCTATCATCCTACAGGACCGTATCTAGTAAAACTGTATTTGCCAAAGTGTCGAATCGAATTGATTTTGTTATTACTTTCCTATTTCTTGTCCTATTTCAGTGGTCGTTTGATAGATAAATGTAGATTTCTTTGTGTACATAACAAAAGTGGTCACCATCTTAATATTCAAGATGGTCGGCCTAACATTTAATCTTTATGTAGGACATATCTCGTAGCTTTTTAGGAATTATAGTAACAGGAAAAGATAAGAACACGTTTCGATTGTTGAAATCGGTCATCTACTTTTTCAATTACCTAACTCTAAAATATAAATATAACTCCACTATCTAATTGAAACTTCATCTAATTCATAACTAACAAAGTTGAAACCGATATTTACAGGGTGGTGAACGAAAAAGTAGAGCACTCACGATCAACATAATTCCCGAACACTTACAGCTGCTGGAGTATTGCATCTTGCAATGGACGATTTGCGGCATCTTTAATATGCTGTAACACAGAAGTCGCTGGATAATTCACATTTTGATTATGGCGGGCAAATCCTAAATACCACAATAAATAAATATAAATACTACTAATGGTAAATGTTCTCTGTTCTCAATATTATGATGATGATTATATGATCATTATGACTTATAATTTTGCATGTTTTTATTAGACTCATTTGATAAAGTTCATTGGACGACTCCTCAAGTGCAGTTACTAATACAACTCTATGACAGAAATAAAACAAACTTTAAAGACAAAAAAACAAGAAACATAGAGGTTTGGAAATCCAATGCTGAAGAGATGGACCGAGTAAGTGGATCTTGAGTTTCAGATAGAATAACAACAACTGTCAATGTGCAAGATGCAATACTCCAGCAGCTGTAAGTGTTCGGGAATTATGTTGATAGTGAGTGCTCGACTTTTTCGTTCACCAACCTGTAAATATCGGTTTCAACTTTGTTAATTATGAATTAGATGAAGTTCCAATTAGATAGTAAAGTTATATTCATATTATAGAGTTAGGTTATTGAAAAAGTAAATGACCGATTTCAACAATCGAAACGTGTTCTTATCTTTTCCTGTAACTATCATTCCAAAAAAGCTACGAGATATGTCCTACATAAAGACTAAATGTTAGGCCGACCATCTTGAATATTGAGATGGTGACCACTTTTGTTATGTACAGGGTGGCCAACTAAGAATCCAGAGTTCGATACCTCTGTTGTCTTGAGAGATACAAAAAAAGTTTTGCATTCAAATTAAAGTGATAACCGAGCTTCACATTTCTAAATTTCTTTGAAATACACAGGGTGTTCCGTGAGGTCACAGCACATCAAAGCTATGTTTTTTTCATTGGAACACCCTATATTTTATTCCATTTCTGAATTCTCCCTGAAGATCTGGTTTCAACGACGTATCTTACTTAGGGTCTAGCAGTGAAAGTTACTGACATATAGGGTGTGCAAAATCGAGATTTTCCAAGTTCAGGATCTTTTTCTGTCGAAACTATTCATTATTCGTCAAAACGGTTTACATGCCCCTATCTCAACTTTTCACTCACTATCAATTGGTTTTCAATTGACATTTAATTGAAACAAATTATAAATTTAGATTTTTTGACCACCTTGTATCAATGTCAATTGAACACCAATAGATAGTGAGTGAAAAGTTGAGATAGGGACATGTAAACCGTTTTGACGAATAATGAACAGTTTAGACAGAAAAAAATTCTGAACTTGGAAAATCTCGATTTTGCACACCCTATATGTCAGTAACTTTCACTGCTAGACCCTAAGTATGATGGGTCATTGAAATCAGATCTTCAAAGAGAATTCAAAAATGAAATAAAATATAGGGTGTTCCAATGAAAGAAACATAGCTTTGATGTGCTGTGACCTTACGGAACACCCTGTGTATTTCAAAGAAATTTTGAAATGTGAAGCTTGGTTATTACTTCAATTTTGATTCATGAATTTTTTTTGTATCTCTCAAGACAACAGAGAAATCGAACTCTGGAGTCTTAGTTGGCCACCCTGTACACAAAGAAATCTACATTCATCTATCAAACGACCATTGAAATAGGACAAGAAATAGGAAAGTAATAACAAAATCAATTCGATTCGGCACTTTAGCAAATACAGTTTTACTAAATACGATCCTGTAGGACAAGGCATGTTTCACAGAGGACTTGTGCTAAAAGACAAATGCTAAGATTTCGCAACATTTTTCATTCAATTGAATTATAATGGGAGATACAAAAATCATGGGCTTGAAAAAAAAGTGTCATTGTTTATTTGGCACCTATACTAAATACGGCCCTGAGAGCTAAATCTTTGGTCTTAGAGGATTGGTCACATGAAAACATTTGATCAGAAACTCCATAGCAATAACATATGTGAATTTCAGGCAAATCCCACTGTGGGCCAATTCCCTTGTGTTTTGTGCGGGGTCCTTTCAGTAGAATATTATGACCAGATGATCCATAACTATCAGCTTTTTCCAAACTTTCTACATCCCATCTATTAGCATTTTACATCTTAAATGTCGCGATAAATCATGCTCATAAAAAGCAACTTTACTAATATTTTTCAATTTGTTTCATTCAATTTTCCAAATGTGAACTGGTACTGGTAGAGGAAGACGTTTGCTCGTCAGCAGCTTTTCGCAAGTCCCAATATGTGTAATGAGTGAAGTGGTACGCTAAAGAGAGCTGGCTATCACCCATTTCAGGTACCGTCAGCAGCAATGGCAAGCCGGCCAGCTATTATCGTTAATCCCCATTAGAGCCCCACCTAGCAGCATTGGCCCGCTCCACGGTCAGCTGGTAGTTTTCCACACCCACAACACCGTCCTACTCCTTCTGTGATGCTCACAACCACATCATGATCATTTAGGAGCAGTATTGTTAATTGGAACGCAATAGTAAATCGTGCAGGACTATCCCCAGCCGGTGCTCCGAAACTTTACATTTGATTCGTAAATTAACACTCTGACTGCCGGCATTCTAATTTTTTGTTTTTTTATTTCGTTTTGTCAGTCGTATATGACTGACAGATTATTATGCATAATTTTGCGTCGTCAGTCGTTTATGATTGACACCACCACTATCATTCAGGGCCGTGTCAGGTTTTCTAGACTGACTTTATATGGAATTTTATATGCTCATCGGAATCGCAGCGCTGTATTTCATAAGCCTACAAAATTTCGCGGCGCCTGACGTTCCTCAAGTGAAAATATATCAATTGAAAATTATATGAAACTCTTTATTCTAAATCTCTTACATTGTTGAAAATGAAGTAACTTATGAACTATGATTTTTGATATGGCACTCTTGGCACATTGCAGGTTTTCCATCACACCCATCGCAATATGTTCGGACTTTCCTTACTTTTTTTCTCGCTTCTGCTCTTGACACTTCTTTTGTTAGGTTGGTATAACAAGTTTTACACTGCTTCCGAGTTTTCTCATCAGTTTTTTTCAATAAATGTGCTACTTTGGGTATCATAAGACTCCTTCTATTGGCATCATTTCCGAATAATAAACATCTGGCAACGTCTTCTCTGAATTTATTGATATTCGATTTCGAATGGGTATGTTCTTTATAAATGTTGAATGCATTTACCATAGACATGCCTGTCAGCAATTCAAAGAAAACCTTTCGGTACCACTTGATACCTCGTCGATTACAAGTACTGTATGAAGCCATTTGGTCAGACTTGTCAATGCCACACTTTCCTTTATTATAAGCGATAATAGCTTCAGGCTTCAGTTTTGCTGCTTCGTTTGCTCTCTTCTTTTTTCGGGTGGGCTCATCATTATTAGTTGTTGGTAGAAGTGCCCTCTTGCTCTTACTTGAAGGCGGAGGAACTCTCATCTCAAGTCCGTGTAATGTGGAGAGCATGAGTACATCCCTAGCATCTTTCCATTTGGAGACAACAATCCCATCGTCAGTCTCTCGTCCAATGTATTCATGTTTTTTCAACTTTTTGTTCGTAACATCTTTCGGGAGGAATTTTCTTGATCGCCTAATTGTACCTACTAAATGGGTCTTTTTTGTTAGAAGAATCTTAGCTAAAGGACAACTAGTATAAAAGTTGTCCGTGTAGAGGGTTCTGCCTTCATTCAATAATCCCTCAGTCAATTCCAGTACGACAGTTTCGCCAATTCCAAGACC